TGAATTCTATATGGGAACTATTTTGTACTTAAAGTATGTTTAAAGAATGAGTAGGTACCTCTTACATTACTTACATGAAAAAGGAAATTACAGTAAACTTTGCCCAAGAATATTTCACTCACAGTATAAAGTAAATTTACTACATCTACTCATAAATGTCGCAGACAATCTTTTTCACAAACAAATACTACAAGACATATTTTTCTGCGATAATAGATTTAAGTGTTCCACTCCACTTACAGTCCTTTTCCATTTTAACTTTAGTAGACATAAAGGAATGAGTCAAAGATAGCATTAAAATTGAAACCGGTTATTATTAATAATTAAGTTAAATCAAATAAATCACAAAGAGCAAGTCTTTTACATTCAGCTGGCTACAACAGAAGAAACTCCTTGCATGCCATTCGGGAGACAACGGCATCCACAAGGCTGCTGACAGTAAGTTCCGAGGGTGTCACCTTGTACGTCTCTGTCACTTTGCTTTTGTTGGTCAGAGACGAAAGCTCTGCTATTGGTATTTCCTGTAATAAAGATTTACATTCAGTGACAATATTTACATTTGTACTTTGAAAGAAAATTGTTGAATCACAGAGTATGAGGTAGGATTAATCTGTATTACTTAGCATTGCTTTAACAAGGATCTGGGTAGAGAACCATACTTTTATCATTATAAAAAAAATATATATTTCCTTACAAAATATACCAACAAAAACATGAAGAGGAAGGAGATGACAGAAAAGAAAGTGTTACCTATAACGACATTACTCACTTTTCCTTTAACTTGTCCATGAAGTTGTTTTAACTTATCTCCTGAGCCATCATCCAGTACAACAGCCAGGATGTGCTTGTCATCGTCCCCTAACCCGAAGGTCTTTAGGGATTCTGTGATCTGGAAACCACAGGTTATCAATATTTATGTTGTTGTTGTTATTAAAAAAAAAAAAAAAAAAAAAAAAAAAAAAAAATCAGATTGACTTAACCTGAACGTCTTTGGGAATTCTGTGATCTGAAAACAAGTCAGATTGACTTAATGCCTGAGAGAGCATTTTTATTTTATAAGGAAAACAGATAACAACAGTAATGGTACAAATATTGGAATTCGTAGGAATGATATTAATAGTTAATAGTGACAATCAAAATGATACTGAATGATGGTGATGATCATAATGATAATTAATGTCTTTTTTATCATGGAATGTGCATATGTTAAGAAAGTCGATAATGAAGAAAACTATATGATTTTGATCAAATTAATGCATAGAAATTATATAACATTCTTAATACAGGGAAAAAAATCTATTATGAAATTTCAGAGTAAACTCACTTCCTACATCTCATATTTACTTTGAAATTATCTCTACTCCTATTCTTTTGTGCTTCAATATCATTTGTCACTAGAAAATCAATGAATAAAAATGCATATCAAAGCCATGATACTTACAGTTCTTGTAGGTGACAAGTTGTAAATAATCTCCGCAAAAACAGATCTTGTTGTCATCTTCTTGAGAGCCAAACACCGCACAGCCTTGTTAGCTGCTACAATGACTTGGAAGGAGTCCACAATCTGTGAATGATGCATAACATATTTTTACTTTATTCTTGTCTTTCATTTTACATACATGTCCTATTCAAATACTTTATTCAACATTATCCTTCTGTGTATCCAAGTAAATAAGTATCACAGAAAGAGTGAGAGCATGAATGTGTGCATGTGTGTGTGTGAGCATGTATGTGTGCATGAGCATGTGTGTGAGTGTGAGCATGTGTGTGACTGTGAGCATGTGTGTGAATGTGAGAATGTGTGTGAGTTTGAGCATCTGCTTGTTGACGTGTGCATGTTTGCACTTGCTGGTAAATAAATGAAAATTATCCCACTTACCATCTCCGGTTTAATGAGACTAGCTTCAACCTGTCCCTTCATAATAAGTTGTCTCACTTCAGCTGCATTTTCAATTTCGTACAAAAGCACATGGCACTTGGTCTGTGCCTCATCTTCTAGGGTCACTGTGACACTCATGTTGAATCTGTAATATTTTTGTAAACAGCTTCAATTGGACAAAGAATGTGCCTTATGAGTAATGACATTTTAATATTTATAAAACTGAATATCAAATGCAGCAAAAACTACTTAAGGATGATCTTATGATATGACACAAGTGAAGCACATCAGGCCACAAAACAATCACTTCAGTCAGCTCTAATTCATTACAAAATAAGTAAATAAATAAAAAAATATGACGATGATGATGACATGTATTTGTAACTATGTGTGTTACACTAGACATTTCCTAAATATTGTGCTTTCCTTACTTGACAAAAATTAATGACCAAACTAAACTACAAAAACAGGAAAAATGTGTAATCATATGCTGTGCTTAAAGAAACAAATAATGACAGCTGATCCTCTAATTTTGATTTCTAAAGTATGTTAGGATATGCTAAGCTAGGCTATTTTAGGTTAGGTTAGGTGTGGTTATTCTTTTTTTTTCTTTTCTTTTTCTTTTTCAGATAATATACAATGAAACTAATGCCAGGTGTTTATGGAAATTTATTGACATAAATCCTAAATAATCCAATTATTTAAGAGTTCCAATACCAATTTGCAGTATAGTTTCTGTTTCCCACAGCCATATAGTACAAGTTAAAATTTGCCTGTAATGGACAGAATGACTGAAAATAACAACACTTTCCATCTTTACTACTTAGTAATCAAAATCTGCAACAAATAATATTTTGGTATACATTTACAGGAAAATCTAATGTCATCATAATAATAAAATAGAAAAACTACACTCATTAATACATAAAGAAATCTGTGTTGGCAAATTGTAACACCAAAAATGAAGAAAATAGATTGTGACAAATGTTACACAGAAAGTAAGTCCACAGTGAGGGGCCTAGAGGCAAAGCCACTGGGTTGGGACGACTTTTGATTCATACAATGTTTCTAGATTTCCCACTAATGGCTGGAGAAATAGGACTTAATCTCAGAGGGTGCAGCCACTTCATAAACGTTACCAATAGTTTCCATTATATCATTTGCGGCAGAAAAGAACAAGATTTGTGCATATTACAGCTTTGATAGTTGAAAGAAGGCATAATACCTGTCAGATTGGATGGCTGTGTATAACTGAAAAACTACCCAATTTGTTTCACTTCCATGAGAAAGGTAAACAAGAAGGAACGAAAGGGAAAAATAAAATGACTGTCCATAGCACTGCATTCATCGCATTCTAGCAATGTGTTCTCTGAGAAAACTTAACATGAAAAACTAACAGCTAAACGTTAATATAAATTATCTTTCCCACAACTATATTTTTGAATGAGTGAATTACGAGAGAATTCCATGACTAGTCAATATTAATTTTCAAACACTTACCTATCTATACTAATGACTTTCACCTTCAGAAAGCAAAACCGAGACCCGAAAGAAATCAGTCACAAAACATGTCAAACAGAGAGATTCTTCTCCTTCTCCTTCTTCTTATAAAGGAGTTTAGACTTTTTAAACAGAGAATAACAAAAATAACAAACGAGTGGGGGTGTTGTTGTCACGTGGTTTTGTTTACGTCGAGGGATTCATTCATTCCTGACGTTTGTTGATAGTAAGGCGTTCGATTTTAATTATCTATTTTATGATGGAGATTATTTTCTTATGTTGGCAACTGTTTTCTTGTCGATATAAATAAAGACGTGGCATATTTTCAGTGACTGAAAAAATAGTCTGTCTCGTATATATGGCTTGCCTCATGCCTTCACCTTCACATTCCATGTAAATAATTTAGTTCTGTTCATAAAAATGAATAATTGTTGTGGTAAAGGAAATGTAAGAAAAGAAGGTAATACAAGAAAACAAGAGAGAAAACACAACTGCAAAGAAAGCAGAAAAAAGTAAACGAGAGAAAACACACACAAGAAAATTGAACAATAAAAGGAAAGACAAGACAGGCTGCAAAGATAATAATGAGAGTAGGTGATAAAATATATAAAAAACAAAACAGCTCGATACAGCCAACCCACAGATTCTCAACAACTTCTTCACGAGACAAAAAGAACAAAAACGAGACTAGTAGAAGAAGAAGAAAGATGTACGAGAGATGAACAAAAATGCAGAAAGGGAAAAGAGGGGAACAAACATTTCAAGACACAACCTCCCGGTCAATGCGAGCGAATCCTGAAATCCATTGGCACGATTAGCCACATTCGCCGTAAAAAATAATAACTAAAATAATACAAATAAATGAATTGATGAAATTAAGATGAAATAAAAATTTAGAACACGCGGCCGGCGCAGGCGATCGTGTTTGTATGCATTGCTTGCATATTTTCGGTCTCACATTAAATGCTTTACGTATAGTTATTCTGATTTAGTCAAAGTCTGACGACTTGATAGATAATTTCTATTGAATAACTACATTCAATCATTCTTTTACAGGTAAATGATAACAATATGTGACTTTTTTTATTTTAGATAGAGACATCTTTCTTCCCTTACAGGGCTTTAGACTAAACTATATACCCAGATCTCCTTGCAGTTCTTCGTTGTCTTCAAATATCTTATTCTCGTCCTCCAGAGCCGTCGGCCGCGTCCCAGCCGGCGCAGCGGGAAGCCGAAACGAGCAAAACAACGACAAAAATTCCAGCCGTCCAACCCCGCTGGAGGGAGAGAGAGAGTAATAAATATGTGAAACGAAGATAAATATTGATATAAAACGCGAAAGAGAGAGAGAAAATATCCTTCAA